TCATCATCATCTTCATCATCATCCTCATCATCATCCTCAACATCATCCTCATCATAATTCTCGTCATCATCCTCATTATCATTCTCATCATCTTCGTCGTCACCATCCTCATCATCATCCTCATCACCTTCCATATCTTCAACCTCACAATCATCCTCATCATCATACTCATCAACATCCTCATCATCATCCTCATCATCATCCTCATCTTCATCCTCATCATCATCCTCGTCATCATCATCACCGTCATCATCATCCTCATCATCATCCTCATCATCCTACTCGTCATCATCCTCGTCCTCATCAACATCATCATCCTCATCATCGTCATCCTGATCATGATCCTCATCATCACCCTCAACATCATCCTCATTCTCATCCTCAACCTCATCCTCATCTTCATCATCATCGTCAGCCTTATCATCGTCCTCATAATCATCCTCATCATCATCCTCATCATGATCCCCGTCATCATCATCATAATCATCCTCCTTCTGCTCCTCATCCTAATCATCCGCATCATCATCCTCATCGTCATCATCAACCTCACCATCATCCTTATCATAATCATCATTGACATTCTCATTTATATCCTCATCATCATCCTCATCATCGTGCTCAGGAACATCCTCATCATCATACTCATTATCATACTCATCATCATCCTTATCATCATCCTCATCATCATCCTCATCACCATCATCATCGTCACCATCATCCTCTTCATCATCCTCATCAGCATGCTCATTATCATCCTTATCATCATTCTCATCATCATCCTCATCGTCATCGTCATCATCATCCTCAACATCATCCTCATCACCATCCTGGTCAACATACTCATCATGATCCTCACCATCATATTCATCATCATCCTCATCATCATCCTCATCATCATCCTCATCATCATCCTCATAATCATCCTCATCATGAAACTCATCCTCACCTTCAACATCATTCTCATCATCATCCTCATCATATTACTCGTCATCATCCCCATCATCGTACTCGTCATCATCCTCGTCATCATCCGCAACATCATCCTCACAACCATCCTCATCATTATCTTCATCTTCATCCTTATCATCATCTTCATTATCAAACTCATCATCATCCTCATCACCATCATCATCATCCTCATCCTCCTCCACATCATCATCATCCTCACCATCATCCTCATTATCATCCTCATGATGATCTTCATCATCATCCTCATTATCATCCTCATCATCATCCTCATCAACATCCTCATCATCATCCTCATCATCATCCTCATCATCATCCTCATTATCATCCTCATCATCATCCTCATCATCATCCTCATCAACATCCTCATCATCATCCTCATCATCATCCCCATCATCAAGCTCATCATCATCCTCATCATCATCTTCATCATCATCCTCATCATCACCCTCATCATAATCCTAATCATCATCCTCATCATCATCCTCATCAACATCCTCATCATCATCCTCATCGTCATCCTCATCGTCGTCCTCGTGGTCATTTTCATCATCATCCTCATCCTAATCTTCATCCCCATCATCATCTTCATCATCATCCTCATCATCATTCACATCTTCGAACCCATCCTCATCATCATCATCATCCTCAACATCATCCTCATCTACATCCTCATCATCATCCTCATCATGATGCTCATCAAAATCCTCATCATGATTCTCTTCGTCATACCCGTCTTCATCCACATCGTCATCCTCATCATCATCCACATCAACATCCTCATCATCATTCTCATTATCATGCTCGTTATCATTCTCATCATCTTCGTCGTCATCATCATCATCACCATCCTCATCGCCTTCCATATCTTCAACCTCATCATCATTCTCAACATCATACTCATAAACATCCTCATCATCATCCTCACCATCATCCCCGTCATCATCCTCATCATCGTCCTCGTCATCAACATCATCATCATCCTCATACTGATAATCATCCTCATGATCGTCCTCACTATCATCCTCATCATTATCTTCATCATCATCCTCATCATCATCGTCATCATCATCCTCATCATCATCCGCATCATCATCCTCATCATCATACTCGTCGTCATCCGCGTCGTCATCCATGTCATCTTCATCATCATCGACATCCACATCATGATCCTCATCATCACCCTCATCATCATCCTCATCATCATCCTCATCATCATCCTCATCCACATCATCATCCTTATCATCATCCTTATCATGATCAACATCATCATAATCGTTATCATCAACGTCAATCTCATCATCATCCTCATCATCATCCTCATCATCATCCTCGTCGTCATCATCGTCATCATGCTCATCATCATCCTCGTCATCATCCTCATCATCATCCTCATCATTATCCTCATCAACATCCTCATCAGCATCCACATCATCATGCACATCACCATCCGCATCATCATCCTCATCATTCATCATCCTCATCTTCATTCTTATCTTCATCAGCATCTTCATCATTATCCTCGTCATCATTGACAACATCAACCTCATCATTATCCTCATCATAATCCTCATTGATATTCTCATCTATATCCTCATCATCATCCTCATCATCATGCGCATCATCATCCTTATCATCATCCTCATCAGCATGCTGATTATCGTCCTCGTGATCATTCTCATCATCATCCTCATCATCAGCCTAATCATCATCCTGAACATCATCCTCATCATCATCCTGGTCATCATCCTCATCATCATCCTCATCATTATCCTCATCATCAACCTCATCATCATCCTCAGCATCATTTTCATCATCATCCGCGTCATCATCCTCATCATCATCCTCATCATCATCCTCATCATCAAACTCATCCTCACCCTCATCATCATCCTCATCATCATCCTCATCGTCATCCTCATCTTCCTCTTCCTCGTCAACACCATCATCATTCTCGTCCACATACTCATGCTCATCCTCATCATCGTCCTCCTCATCATCACCTTCATCATTCTCATCATCAACCTCATCATCATCCTCCTCATCATCCTCATCATAATCCGCACCAACATGCTGTTCATCATCCTCATCATCATCCTCATCATCACCCTCATCGTCTTGGTCATCGTCATCCTCATCATCATCATCCGCATCATCATCATCCTCATCATCCTCCTCATCATCCTCAACATCTTCCTCAGCATCATTCTCATCATCATCCTCATTATCGTTCTCATCATCTTCGTCGTCATCATCGTCATCATCATCCTCATAATCATCCTCATCATGATCCCCATCATCGTCGTCATAATCATCCTCCTCCTCCTCCTCATTCTAATCATGCTCATCATCATCCTCATCGTTATCATCATCCTCATCTTCATTCTTTTCTTCATCAGCATCTTCATCATTATNATAATCATCCTCATCATGATCCCCATCTTCGTCGTCATAATCATCCTCCTCCTCCTCCTCATTCTAATCATACCCATCATCATCCTCATCCTCATCATCATCCTCATCATCATCCTCATCATAGTACTCATCATCATCCTCATCATCATCCTCACTTCCATGCTCATCATGATTTTCATCATCATCCTGATCATCATCTTCATCATCAACGTCATCATCATCCTCATCGTCCTCATCATCATCGTCATTATCATCCTCATGATTATCTTCATCATCGTCCTCTTTCTCATTTCCAACCTCCTCCTCATCCTCATCCTCATCGTTATCCTCATCTTCCTCCTCCTCCTCACCATCATCATCAACGTCATCTCCACCGTCATCCTCATTCTCATTCACATCCTCATCCTCATCCTTATCATCATCATCATCATCCTCATCCTCCTGCTGATCCTCATTCTCATCATCATCCACATTCTCATCCCTCTCCTCTTGTTCCTCGTTCATCTCGTCGTCATCATCATCAACAACATCATCATCATCATCATGTTCATCATCATCATCCTCATCCTCATTCTCATCCGTATCCGCATCCTCATCCTCATCCTCAACTTCATCCTCAGCCTCATTCTCATCCTCCTTCTGCTCGTCCTCATCATCGTCATCATCATGATGATCATCATTACCATCATCATCATAATCATCCGCGTCATCATCATCATCATCTTCAATCTCATCCTCATCAACATCAACATCATCGTAATCATAATCACCATCATCATCAGCATCTTCATCAAAATGTTCATCACCTTCATCCTCATCCTCATCCTCATCCGCATCCTCCTCATAATTTTCATCCTCAAGCTCATTTTCAGCCTCATCATCCTCCTACCCCTCCTCCTCCTCCTCCTCCTCATCATCATCATCATTATCATCAATATAATAATCATCATCATCATCCTCATCCTCAACCTTATCCACATCTTCATCCCCATCCTCATCATCATCATCATCCTCATCAACATCGTTATCCTCGTATTCATCGTAGTCGTCATTCTCATCCTAATCATCATCCACATCAACATCATCAACATCAACATCTTCGTCATCGTCGTCATCATCATCCTCATCATCATATTCATCATCCTCTTCCTCGTGATCAGCATCACCATACTCATCCACTTCCTCATGCTCATCCTCATCATCGTTCTCATCATCATCCTATTCATCGTCCTCATCATCAACCTCATCATCATCCGCATCATCATCCTCAACATAATCCTCATCATCATTCTCATCATCATCCTCTTCTTCATCCTCATCATCATCCTCATCATCATCTTCATCATCATACTCATCATCATCCTCATCATCATTTCCAACATGTACCTCACCATCATCCTCATCATCATCCTCAACATCATCCTCATTCTCATCCTCATCCTCGTCTTCATCATCATCCATATATAGGCCCTCATCCGCATCCTCATCCTCATTCTCAACCTGATCCTCATCATCATCATCAACTTCATTCTCATCCTGGTCCTCATCCTCATCCTTAACCTCTTCCTCAACTTCATCCACATCAACATCCTCATCCTCATCATCATCCGCATCATCTTCCTCATCCTCATCCTCATCATCATCCCGATCCTTAAACTCATCTTCAGCATTATCATCCACATCATCATCCTCATCCTCATCATTATCATTATCATCATCCTCAACTTCATCCACATCATCATCCTCATCCTCATCATCATCCTCCTCATCATCCTCATCTTCATCCCCATCATCATCCCGATCCTTAACCTAATCATCATCAGCATCATCATCGTCATCATCATCCTAATCCTCATCATCATCATCATCATCGTCACCATCATCCTCATCCTCTTTCCCATCATCATCATCGTCATCCTCATCCTCATCCTAATCCTCATCATCATTCTCAAACTCATCCTCATCGTCATCATCTGCATCATCATCAACATCCTCATCATCGTCACGATCATCATCCTCATCATCATCCTCATCATCGTCCTCATCCGCATCCTCATCCTCATCATCAACCTCCTCCTCATCATAATCATCATGATCACCGTCATCCTCATTCTCCTCATCATCATCTTCATCATCATACTCATCATCATCCTCATCATCATCTTCAACATGTACCTCACCATCATCCTCATCATCATCCTCAACATCATCCTCATTCTCATCCTGATCCTCGTCTTCATCCTCATCCTAATCCGCATCATCGTCCTCACCAACATCCTGTTTATCATCCTTAGCATAATCCCTATCATCCTCTTCCTCTTCATACTAATCCTCAATCACGTCCTCCTCCTCATCGTAAAACTCACCTTCATCGTGATCATCAGCCACATCATCATCATCATCATCCTCATCTTCATGATCATCATCATCATCATCATTACCATAATCATCATCCTCATCCTCATCAGCATCCTCATCCTCATCTTCATCGTCATCATCATCCTCATCACCATCAACATCCTCATCCTCATCCTCATCCTCATGCTCATCCTCATCCACATCGTCATCATCATCCTCATCATCATCCTCCTCATTATCCTCATCTCCAACATCATCGTCATCCCCATTCTCATTCTCATCCTCATCCTCATCATCGTCATCCTCAACATCATCCTCATCCTCATCCTCAAACTCATCTTCATCCTCATCATCCGCATCATCATCATCATTCTCATCATCGTCCTTATCCTCATCATCGTGATCGTCATCCCCGTCCTCATCCTCATCCTCATCATCATCAGAATCATCATCCTCATCATCATCCTCATCCTCATCCTCATCATCATCATTATCATCATCCTCATCTTTATCCTCATCATCATCCTCATCCTCAATAACATCCTCATCCTCATCCTCATCGTCATCCTCAACCTCATCCTCATCCTCATCCTCCTCATCATCCTCATCATCATCCTCTTCATCATCCTCATCCTCTTCCTCCTGCTCGTCACCATCCTCAGCATCCTCATCCGCATCCTCATCATCATCCTCAACTTCATCGTCATGCCCATCCACTTCCTCATCATCATCGTCATCATCATCATCATCATCGTCATTCTCATTCTCATCCTCATCCTCATTCCCATCCTCATCCCCATCCTCAGCCTCATCCTCATTCTCATCCTCATCACCATCCATATCCCCAGCCGCCTCATTCTCATCATGATGATCGTCATTCTCATCCTCATCCTCATCACCATGCTCATCTTCATCCTCATCCTCATCCTCATCCGCATCCGCATCCTATTCCTCATTCTCATGCTTCAGTTCATCCTCAGCCTCATTCTCATCCTCGTTCTCCTCTTCCTCATCATCATCATCATCATCATCATCATTATCATCATTATCATAACCATCAACATCATTAACTTCCTCATCCTCATCTTCATCCTCATCGTCATTCTCATCCTCATCCCCATCCTCATCAACACGATCATCATCATCATCATCATGATCATCATCATCTTCATCATCATCATCATCCTCATCATCATTCTCATCCTCCTCCTCCTCCACATCATCATCTTCATTCTCATCCTCATCCTCATCATCATCATTATCCTGATCTCCATCCTCATCCTCATTCTCTTCCTCATCCCCATCCTCAACCTCATGCTGAGCCTCATCATGAACATCATCATCCTCATCATCAATATCATCATCATCATGATCATCATCATGATCATTATAATCATCATGTTCATTGTCATCATCCTCATCCTCATTCTGTACCTCATCCTCATCATCATCCTCATCTTCATCCTCATCCTCATCATCATCATCATCATCCTCATCTTCATCCTCATCCTCATCATCATCAACCTCGTCGTCATCCGCATCAACATCCTCATCAGCATCCTCATCCTCATCTTCTTCCTCATTCTCATAGTCACTCTCATCATCATCCTCATCATCATCCTCATCCTCATCCTCCTCCTCCTCGTCCTCCTCATCATCATCAACGTCATCCCCATCAACATCCTCATCCTCATCTTCATCCCCATCCTCATCATCATCATCAACCTCATCCTACTCCTCATCCTCATCCTCATGCTCATCATCATCAACATCCTCATCCTCATCCTCATCACCCTCATCCTCATCATCATCCTCATCCTCATCCTCAAACTCATCTTGATCCTCATCATCCGCATCATCATCATCATCCTCATCATCATCCTTATCCTCGTCATCACCATCGACATCCTCGTCCTCATCCTCGTCCTCATTTCCACCATAATTTTCATCCTCATCCTCATCATCGTCATCATCAGCATCATCATCCCCATCCACATGCTCATCCACATCATCATCATCATCATCATCGTCATCATCAACATCATCATCATCATCGTCATTCTCATTCTCATCCTGATCCTCATTCTCATCCTCACCCTCATCCTCATCCTCATCACCATCCATATCCTCAGCCGACACATTCTCATCATGATGATCGTCATCCTCATCCTCATCCTCATCATCATGCTCATCCTCATCCTCTTCCTCATCCTCATCCGCATCCGCATCCTTTTCCTCATTCTCATGTTTAAGTTCATCCTCAGCCTCATTCTCATCCTCCTTCCCTACTTCCTCATCATCATCATCATCATCATCATCATCATCATTATCATCATTATCATAATCATCAACATCATTAACATCCTCATTCTCATCTTCATCCCCGTCCTCATCATCATCATCATCCGCATCCTCTTCCTCATCCTCATCCCCATCCTCATCAACACGATCATCATCATCATCATCATCATCGTCGTCACCATCATCATCATCATCATCATCATCGTCATCCTCATCCTCATCCTCATCCTTATGGTCATCATCACCAACATCCTTATCCTCATCCTCATCCTCATGCTCATCCTCATCCTAATCCTCATCATCATCCTCATCATCATTCTCCTCCTCATCATAATCCTCATCATTACAGTTATCCTCATCCTTATCCTCATCATCATTTTCAGCATCATGCTCATTCTCATCCTCATCCTCATCCCGTTTCTCATCCTCATCCGCATCCGCATCCTATTCTTCATTCTCATGCGCAAGTTCATCCTCAGCCTCATTCTCATCCTCCTTCTCCTCTTCCTCAACATCATCATCATCGTCATCATCATTATCATCATCATCATAACCATCAACATCATCACCATCTTCATCCTCATCTTCATCCCCATCCTCATCATCATCATCATCCGCATCCTCTTCCTCATCCTCATTTTCATCCTCATCGTCATACTCATCCTCATCCCCATCCTTATTATCACGATCATCATCATCATCACCATCATCGTCGTCACCATCATCATCATCAACATCATCATCATCCCCATGCACATTCTCATCCTTATGGTCATCATCACCAACATCCTCATCCTCATCCTCATCCTCATGCTCATCCTCATACTCATCATCATCCTCAGCCTCATCCTTTTCATCATCCTCATCTTCATCATCAACGTCATCCCCATCCTTATCCTAATCCTCATCCTCATCTTCATCATCATCCTCATTCTCATAGCCTTCCGCATCCTAGTGCTCATCCTCATCCCCATCCTCATCCTAATCTTCATCCTCATCCTAATCATCATCATCATCCTCATCCTCATCCCCATACTCATCCTACTACTCATCCTCAACCTCATCCTCATCCTCATGCTCGTCCACATCGTCATCATCATCATCACCATCATCATTCTCATTCTCATCCTAATCCTCATTCTCATCCTCATCCTCATCCTCATCAGCATCCTCATCATCATCCTCGTACTCACCTCATCGTCATCATCTGCATCATCATCATCATCCTCCCCCTCATCATAATCATCATGATCAACGTAATCCACATCCCCATCATCATTTTCACCATCATACTTATTCTCATCTTCATCCTCATCCTCATCTTCATGCTCATCATCATCGTGGTCCTCAACCTCATCCTCATTCTCATCCTCATATTCATCTTCATCATCATCATCATCATCACCATCCTCATCCTCATTCTCATCCCCTTTATCATCCCCATCCTCAACCTCATTCTCAGCATCATCCTCACCATCATCATCATCAGCATCATGGTCATCATCATCATCGTCATCATCATCATCATCTTCATCATCATCATCCTCATCCTCATCCTTATTGGCATCCTCATCCTCATCCTCATGCTCAAGTTCATTCTCAGCCTCATACTCGTCCTCCTCCTCCTCCTCCTCATCATCATCATCATCACCATCATCATCATCATGCTCGTCCACATCCTCATCCTCATCTTCATCCCCATGCTCATCATCCTCATCCTCATCATCACCATCATCCTCATCATCATCCTCATCCTCATTCTCATCCTCATCAACATCCTCATCCTCGTCCTCATCGTCATCATCATCCTCATTCTCACACTCAGCCTCATCCTCATGCTCATCCTCAAACGCCTCGTCTTCGTCATCATCTGCATTACCATCATCATCCTCATCATAATCCTCATCCCCATCCTCAACCTCATCCTCAGCCTCATCCTCACCATCATCGTCAACATGATCATCATCGTCATCATCATCATCATCATCATCATCATCATCATCATCATGTTCGTCATCATCATCCTCATCCTCATCCTCAATTCCATCCGCATCTTTATCCTCATACTCATGCTCAAGTTCATATTCAGACCCGTTCTCAACCTCCTCTTCCTCTTCGTCATCATTAGCATCCACATCATCATCCTCATCCTCATTCTCATCCTCGAGCTCATTATCCTTTACATCCTGATACTCATCCTCATCTTCATGCTCATCCTCATCCTCATCTTCATCGTCATCATCATCCTCATCATCATCCTCCTCATCATCGTCATCCTCATCGTTACCGTCATTCCCGTCCTCATCCTAATCCTCATCCTCATCCTCATCTTCATTCTCATCCTCATTAACATCCTCAGCCTCATCCTCTTCCCCATCCTCAAACTCATCCAATTCGTCGTCTTCTGCATCACCATCATCATCTCC